TGGCAAGACGAGGTTCTAGATGTCCTTTTTCAACAAGGGCTAGATCTTGCCATTGAAGAAAAGAGACCAGATATTATTGGAGAAGAAGATTGGAAAATTATCAACCGTGTTGCTTGCGGTACCATTCGATCCTTCCTTACTAGAGAGCAGAAATATCCATACACAAAGGAAACTTTTGCAAGTAAATTATGGAAAATACTGGAGGATAAATTTTTTGAAGAAAAATAGTCAAAATAAATTGGACATGAAGNCCACATCAGAAAAGATTTATCTTGGTAATTGAGTCAAGGTTCTGTCTGAGTATGCTCTGTGGTTGTAGCTTAGTCTGACCTTCCACACCAGAAAGGAAATAATCTTGAATTGTGTCGTCGGCTATTAAATAATATTTTGGTCAAAGATGGGAGACAATAAACAAGAAGAATCTACATCAAGTGTCAACAATACGTCATCATTGGCATCTTCGCTTATGACAAGAATTGTGTCAAATGCGAAATTTGCGGTAGAAATATTTGACGGGTCCGGACATTTTGGGATGTGGCAAGGCGAGGTTCTAGATGTCCTTTTTCAACAAGGGCTAGATCTGGCCATTGAAGAAAAGAAACCAGATGTTATTGGAGAAGAAGATTGGAGAATTATCAACCGTGTTGCTTGCGGTACCATTCGATCCTACCTTGCTAGAGAGCAGAAATATCCATACACAAAGGAAACTTCTGCAAGTAAATTATGGAAAGCACTGGAGGATAAATTTTTGAAGAAAAACAGTCAAAATAAATTGTACATGAAGAAGAGACTGTTTCACTTCACCTATGTTCCTGGTACCACGATGAATGAACATATCACCAGTTTCAATAAGTTGGTCACAGATTTGCAAAATATGGATACAACTTATGATGATGGTGACTTGGCCTTAATGTTGTTGGCGTCACTTCCTGATGAGTACGAGCACCTTGAAACTACTCTACTCCATGGAAATGACGAAATTTCTCTCAGAGAAGTTTGTTCGGCTTTGTACAGCTATGAACAAAGAAAGCGAGAAAAACAGAAGGGCGGAGAAGGAGAAGCACTATTTGTGAGGGGTCGTCCTCAAAATCAAACGAGGACAAAGAAGGGAAGATCCAAGTCAAGATCCAGACCCAGCAAAGATGAATGTGCCTTTTGTCGAGAAAAAGGGCACTGGAAGAAAGACTGTCCGAAGTTGAAGAATAAGGCCAAACATAACAATGGAAAGGCCATTATGGATTCAAATGTAGCTGATTGTGATGATTCAGACTTCTCATTAGTTACAACAGAGTCATCAACATCATCAGACATATGGTTGATGGACTCGGCTTGTAGCTATCATATGTGTCCCAACAGGGACTGGTTCGTGGAATTTCAAGAAGGAGAATATGGAGTCATCCACACAGCGGATAACAGCCCTCTTACCTCATATGGCATTGGTTCAATACGATTAAAGAACCATGATGGAATGATCAAAACATTAACAGATGTTCGATTTGTACCANTCTGGAAGGAGATCCAGTAGAGGAGATTCCAACTCAGGAACCTCAACAACAACTTGAATCAATAACAACCAGTAGGCCAAAAAGAACAATAACGAAACTTGTTCGTCTCATAGAGACTGTTGCTTGTGCAACCTCAATTGTAGCTGATGATGTTCCTACCACTTATAAAGACGCTGTCCAAAATTAAGAAGAAGATAAGTGGAGGATTGCCATGAATGATGAAATACAGTCCCTTCATCAGAATCATATATAGAGATTGCCAATCTCCCGAAGGGAAAGAAAGCAATTGGGTGCAAATGGGTATTTACAAAGAAAGAAATGGACACAATTGAAGCCACTAACAACCTAAGACAAAACTCATGCTAGCCTCCTACTTCCTAACCTACAACCTTAATGTTCGCCCACCATAACTTCCTATCAAGAGCCATGTTCTCGAAAATCTGAAGCCGCACCAGATCCTGTTTGAGACAAATATTGCATGACTTAAGAATGGAAAAACCACAAAACAAGAAGATGCATAGGCATTTGGACAATATTTGGTAGAATATGAAAAACAAAGATTATTCGAAGTTAAGTCAAACAGAGTATATTTGAAAGTTGTTACATTTGCATGAAAATAAGTTGCAGTGAAAATCATATTTCACTTGAATTACTCTTCAGACATGTTTATTGAGATATTTCACCAGTCATATGAGTATTTTGCAATTTGCCTATATTCTACTTAATTATTTGCAAATAATGAAATACTTAATTATATTCAAGCATCCATTTATAACGTCAATCCCGAACCATTGAACTTGTCTTCTGTAATTTGATTAAGCCTTTCCACCATTTCAGTAGTCAAATGATTCTTCCAATCTCCCACTTCACCTTTCCTGAAGAAAACTCTATTATCATTGCCAAACAATGTCTTACCACTCTTGTTCACCTCCAAATTGCTCAAATTTTCAAAGCTACACAGCTTAATTATTTCATCAACCAATCCTGATTCTTCTTCCTCTAAAGAAAATGGACACTCCAAAAATTCAGCCAAACGTCTCAAATGTAAAAAAGGTTTCTCTTTCACATCTTCATACTTCAAAAACAATACCTTTTGAGGCATTTCCAAGCTTTTTTCCCAATAATTTAAAACATGGTCCCAAAAAGGTCCTGCCATAGTTAATCCATTACAGAACATATCGAAAGCTTCTTCAAACGGTATCATTTTTGTGTCTTGACTCCTTAGCTTGCTTATGTAATGCCAAAGTGATACAAAAGTGTCTCTTGGATTCCTACACATATAGATTATTTTGCACTTTGTGTTCTTGACTGATTCTGGCAAAGAAACATATGGTAAATGAGTAGAATAAAGCCTTGGTGATGTTAAAGAAGAATTTGGTGAAATGGGATTCTTTTCTTGTGCATAATTTAATTCCAAGAATGGAACTAAATCATGAGGATTAGTAGTGAGCAAAGGGTGTTCTTGGGAAAGGATAGGGTGTGACATTCTATTGATTAAAGTGAATACCATAGCCTTCAACCAAATGGTGCCAGATTTGGGACTTGTGATGAGGAGAATATCAAAGTCTTGAGCTTGGAAGCAGTGTTGAAAGGAAAGAGTACCTTGTAAGTGCAATGCTGTGAGCCAAAAGCCTTGGTATTTGTACAAATGAGGACTGAGCCAACCTTTTGCTTTGGGTAGAGAAGATAACAAGTCTTTGAATGTTTGAGAAAATCCATTTTCCTCCAAGCATTTTGATACAAGGTTTGAAGTCTGAAGCCTTTGTTTGCTTCTTTTTCTAGTTTGTCTGGTGGTAGAGTTTTCTTTCAAAACATTGGTAACCATTGTTTGTTTTTTTGGATCAAACAAACTGCAAAAGCTTGGAAGAAAGGACTACTTTGGATGAAGGTTTTGGAGAAGGCAAGGTTGGATTTTTCTCATGCAATATAGAGGGATCTTCTAATTCATATATATAGGGGATTGGGCAAAGACTAAGATTTAATGATGGGTTTAATTTTACCATTAAAGCCACTGCACTTTTACAATTATGAATTTTAAAATTTATCATTTGATGAATATTATGTGTGTGTATGTTTAACATATAAAGGTGTTTGGACAGTTCCGGCATTGGGTGGTTGCGATTTTTTTTATTTTGTGTCTCACGCTAGACGCTAGTTGTGTGAGGCCTTTTTTTTGTGTTACAACTTTATGGTCCGAAAATTTTGTGGACCCAAATGTATAAGATATGAGTCCACAAATGTGTGTGATAAAAAAAAGGCTCACACAACTAATATCAGCCATGTGAGTCACACAGTAAAATCACTCGGTCGAAAGAGCACTAGTTGGTATTTGGTAGGGTATAAAGAGTTGCAAATTTCGTGAAGAACGTGTTGATTTAGCATATAGTTCTTAATTAAATTAGTATACAATTAGTGGATTTTCGGGTTTGTTATGTTCCCATTATTAGGAGTAGTAAAAAAATGAGTACTAATCATGAGTTGTGCGTACGTACCTAAACAAGATTAATTGAGTTTAGTAGAATAAATAATTTATTCGTCGAAAGTTATAGACAATTTTGAGTGCGTGGATATGCTTTTGCTTAAAAACACAGAAATGAGTTAAAAACTGCCAATATCTAAGTGAAAACTACAATTAACAATCATTAGGCTTTAAAAAATTGGCACAAAACTGTCTAGTGGCCTACTTTCAGTATAAAATATGTATTTTGGAAAAATAGTAAAAGTAAATTTTTCTACCTCAAGAGTAGAACCGTTAATATGGACTTAGTCCTAGAAAATTATGAGTTGTGTTAAAAAATTTATAACCTACCTAAAAACGAGGCTTTTCAGCCCGTTCCAATTATGCGGCCCGTGAGATTTGAACGAGGATGGATCGGGCTGGCCCGTGGCTAAATAAAAATAGTATTAAGATAATACTAGTTCTAGTTATTTCTTAATGTTAACTAATAACATTACATATGAAGATAATTATGTCACAAGCGGATCTTGATAAAGATGACATGGTGATATTAGATATGTCAATGCTTTGTTGCATCGTTAAAGCGTCATAACATAAAATACTAGATGATAGCATATTATAATAACGAGACGGCAAGCATTAAAAGCCGTGAAGGAAGGAAGTGGGATGTTTTAATTTTTTTTATTTTAAATTTATGATCATTTGGAATATATTTGGAAAAGTTTGAACAAAGTTAAATTTCAACTTCGCAATATACTTTATTAAACAATACTATAACAATCCGACCGGTTGTTTGAATTCTAGAACCCCATTTGCTATTTGATGCTTTCCGTAAGTTCATTTGAAATTATACGAGCCGTGGGGATGGTGGTTTGATTTTCGTGAGGTTCTGGTGTGATTTAGAATACTTTGTTCCTAGTTTGAGGTTTAAAACTGGAAGAGCTGACGTAAGTTTGGCTTTGGTGAAAATGATCCCATATTGAATTTGAAGGTTCCAATAGGTTCATATGGTGATTTGAACTTGGGCGTATGATCGAATTTGGTTTTGGATGTTCCTAGGAGATTTTGGTTTTATTTTCTAAAAATTAGCAATTTGTAGAATTGGAGAGTTCATAAGTTTGATTGATAGTTGACGATGATATTATCGGGATCCAATTATTGTTCCAGTATTGAGGACAAGGTTGTGTTATTGAATGAATCTTGGGTGTGAAGTTTGGTTAAGATACAAGATGTTTAGGCACGATCCGATGCTTGGTTAGAAGTTTAGAACTTATGAACTTACAAGAATTCAACATGCGGTTTGGTCCTTGATTCTTAGATGTAGTAATTTCGCATATGTTTTGAGACCACAAATAGGTCCGGATTGTATTTATTAACTTGTTGAAATATTTGGACCGGGTCCGGGAAGACTCGAGTGAGTTTCGGACCACCCCGAACTCTTTGAGATTGTTGGTTTTGCCGGTGTATGGTCAACTACGCGATCGTGGAGCAATTCTCGCGATCGCACTGAAGGATTGAGCTGAGTGCTATTGTGTTTCGCCTTCGCAGAAGGGGAGTTTCTTTTCGCGAAGGCTGGAGGTCGCTGGTATTGTGTTCGCGGGGGAGCGTAGGGAAGTTAGGCAAACTTTCACGATTGTGAGGGGCTGCCTGCTATCGCAAAAGAGGACAGGCGGTGGCTGATTGTGATTCGCGATTGCAGGGCTATTACCATAATCGCAAAGGGTAGCGCTGGTAGGGTATTTTAAGCTAAATTTTGAGAGTTAACCCATTTTCACATTTATAAGTTTTGGAGAATGAGAGGAGTATTTAAAGAGCGATTTGACTAAAATCTTGAGGGCAAGTAATTTTTACTTGGATTTGATCATATACCTTGATTCCTTATGTATTTTTACATTTAAAACATAAAATTTTATAGTGATATTTTGGAATTTTCTCTACAACTTAAGAGAGTATAAATTGAGGTTTTGAGCATCGATTTTGACTTGGATTTAAAAACTAAGCATATAATTGGGCGTAGAGTTATTGGTAAACGAAATCTATCCCTAAACTCGGATTTTGACCCTGTGGTGCCAAGTTTACTTTTACTGGATTTTTGAGAATAAATTAACTATTCAAGCTTTATTATGTGGAATCGATTCTTATGGATTTATTTGGCCTTAAGTATTATTAGGTTAGATTTGAGCCAGTTGGAGGAGATTTCTAGAGAAAAGCCTGTGCCAGAAGGTTGGTTTAACTTGCCGTGGTAAATGTAATAACCCGGCCGGTCATTTTGAGTATTAAAATTGCGTTTCTACATTTATTTCTTATTCTATATTCATTTGTTGTTATTTAACTTGTTGAGGTAGTTGGTTTGTGTCACGACCTGGATTTTCACCCTCGGGAGTCGTGATGGCGCCTACTAGTGAAAGCTAGGCAAGCCAACTATTCCAATTTTTTTACCCTTCTTATTTTAAACCTCTTAACAATTTTAAGTCAACATATCATAATCAGGGAAAAATATTAATGCGGAAGAAGGAAATTTAACAATTTAAGCTAATACCAAAATGAATCCATAAACATAACCACCTAGAACTAGTGTCATAAACTCACGGACTATCTAAGAATACTACCAATAGGGTCCGAACAAAATAAATACATGTCTGTCTCTGAAATAGTAAAGAACATAAGAAAACTAGATAGGGAGGGGATGCCAAGGCCTGCAGACGCCTGCACGACTACCTCGGGTCTCCTGATAGACTGAAGGCAACAACCCTTGGCTAGGATCCGCATGCTCCAGTACCGGGATCTACACAAAAGAATGCAAAGTGTAGTATCAGCACAACCGACCCCATGTGCTGGTAAGTGTCGAGCCTAACCTCGGCAAACTAGTGACGACGCTAGGACACAACAATTAACCTAACCTGTAGTTAAACATTACCTAGCAGAATAACAATAATAGAAGCAATTCAAAAGTAACGGGGGATGGGTAACATGCTATGGGGGAAAAGTGCCAACGTGAAAAATCACAGTAATAGTGGAATAAGACAATTAAGGTAATTGAACCGAAAACAACAAGAAATGAAAATGAACAGGCAATAAGTCCACGACATCACCCTTCATGATTTTACTCTCAATCGTCACCAATGTAATCAAGTAATGAAAATATGCACGACATCACCCTTCGTGCTTTATCTCTCTTATTCACCATGTAAATATTAGAAATGTGCACAGCATCACCCTTCGTGCTTTATCTCTCTTCCTTGCCATATCCATCAATATCAATAAAAATGTACACGGCATCACCCTTCGTGCTTTATAACTCTTTCCTCACGATATGCTTAAATATGAATGTGCACGTTATCACCCTTCGTGCTTTATCTCTCTTTCCTCACCTAAACAATAGCAACAGCAACACCCCGGTAAAGGAATCAACAACAAGAATAGACACATCCCGGCAAGGGAATCAACAGTAAGAAATAAGTACGTCCCGGCATAGGAATCAACAGTAAGAAATAAGTACGTCCCGGCAAGGGAATCAGCTATAACAAAACTTGTACCAACACTTAACTTCACAAACAAAACCTCAACTGGAGCCAATGCTCAACAATAAACAAATACCACAAGATAATCATAGGTCTTGCTCAACACGGAGAATCAACAATTTAGGCAATTGTAGTACTTATTAAGAAACACAACGATTATAATTTAAGACTCACGAGCATGCTTGACGCCGACGTATAGATACTCGTCACCATACCTATACGTCGTACACTACACTAGCACATAGCAAATAAAGCACAATACCTACTCCCTCAAGCTAAAGTTAGACCAAACACTTACCTCGATCTTCCATGGCCAATTCAAGCCTAAAACACCGCTTTTCCTTTAGAATTCGCCTCCAATTCAATTGTATCTAGCCCAAATGATTTTAACAACATAAATAAATGCTAAAGAATTCACACCCAATGCTTAATTATAGATTTTCTATGATTTTTCCCTAAAATTTAAAAATCAACCCCGGGCCCGCTTGGTCAAAACTTGAGGTTCGAACCAAAATTCGATCACCCATTCACCCACGAGTCCAAATATATAATTAGTTTTGAAATCCGACCACAAAACGATGTCTAAATTCCAATTATTCAAAAAGCCCCAACTCTACCCAATTTCCTAATTTCTACCATGAAGATTCTTGATTTTTGATTAAAAAGTGATGAAAATAGTTGGGTAATTGAAAGAGTAAGGTTTAGAATTGATTACCAACACTTTGGGGATGAATTTGTGTGAATAAAATCACCTCTAGGTCTTGGGAGTTCGAAAATATGGAGTATATGGGTTTTGCCTGTTTTTGCTACTGTTTTAAAAGACTAGGAAGGCCTTCATCGCATTCGCGATGGGCCTGCCGCGTTCGCAAAAGGCTGCCAGTTGAGGACTTACATGATCACGAGTTCTGCTACGCGTTCATGAAGGGTTGTCCCC